TGAATTTTTTAAGGAACACAAAAAATTTCATTTAGTTTACTCACGTGCCTGCATCTCTTTCAGTCTTTTCCTCAAGCTTCATTTTGCCTAATCTTCAAGATTCATAGATATTATTTGTAACCAACAGTAAAGTAACTTGGAAATGTGTCACTATCTTAGTTTAGATTACATGTACATGTAATTGAATCCCGGAGAACGTCAATTTTTCATTCGACATATATAAATTTAAGCACAAGTAACCTTTGTGAATACTCAAAATACTACATTGCAATTTACTAAAAAATACTACAATGAAATTTAATATTCCTGAAAGGACATCAGCTTGGATTGCTGGAAGTTCCACAATTGCCTTCAATTAGAAAATAAAATCTGAGTCATTTCTTTAATTAAAAAGTTGTTGAACTATATCAAAGATTAATATTTGATGAACTACAAATGCATCAAAACATTACAGTGCATAACAGTCCAAATAAATTACAATCGTCAACTTTTTTCACTTATAAGTAGATGGAAACGGCCGATTCTGCTTCACAACAAAGGAGATACCCGGTGATGGAAACCGGCGCCACCAGATGTTGTGATGCAGAATCGGCCGTGCCTTCTCTACCAGCTGTAGTCGCCGGATGTAAACAAAAACATCCGGTGTCAATGAAAACATCTGGTGTGTACATGCGAGGTCAACATCCGGCGTCCACATCCGTTGACAAAATCCGGCGACAACAGCCGGTGCGTCGGCAAGGCCGCGGAAGTGCGAAAGTCGCCGCCGCCAGCTGCTGGGGAGGCCGTGACGTCACGTCTCCAGCCTGCCTGCCTGCCTGCCTACCCTGTGTACCAACCTCTGCAAACGAAAACTAAGGGTTGCAAAAAACGGGAGCGGGGAGAGGAATTTTTTTCCCTGCACGGTGTTGACAAAAGGGGAAAAATGACAAGACAAACAACAGAGAGAGTAGGCTAGAACAAGTATTTATTGATCACAAACATATACATTGTTTGAGGTTCTTTACAATGAAAATACACGAGGGTTGTTGACAATCTCATGCACACGGACGATATGTTGAGAAGGCGCCGTAGTACGTTGGGATTGACAGCATCGCCTTCTGCGACGGGGTCGGCGACGTTGGTGAGGCGTTTACCCTGAACATGGTAGTTTTCACCGTTTTCCCCGGTGCGACGAAGGGTGTTGCGGTTGACGAAATCCTTCTTGTACTGCAACGCGTCGTCGACGTAGCGTTTTGAGGCCGCATCGTCTTTGTGTATGGGCATGGCTAGGTTGACGATGCGTGCCTTTTGCACGTTGAGGTTGCCCTGTTTGCTGATTCGTAATTTTGGAATTTTTTCGAGATGTTTATGAATGTCATTTACATGGCGATCGACGTACGTTTTGGTTGTAGCGTCACGTGGCTCTGCAGGTTGGCCGACGTTTGTAATTCGAAACAGATCAGCGTTCAAGGGCCCAGCGTGTTCCCATTGGCGTAGATACTTTGTCTGATTGGCAATCATCGTTTATAGATCGGCGCGCACATCCTCGTTCGCTTGAAATACTTGGCGGAAGCGTGCGTCCTCTTCCTCCTCCTCCTGCTCTTCCGCGTAATAGTCGTTGTCGCACATGTCTCGATCAGGCTGGATCGTAGTACTGATACATCCGCTCTTGTCACGCTTCCTCTTGTATTGCGTCCTCTCACCCCACTCTGAATAACGTTTATAATCTTTTCCCCCCACTACATTCTCAGGACATGACATCACATGTTCTCCATGTCAGGTGGAGGAGGGACGT